TATTGTTAAGAAGCGAAGCGTTGTCCGAGTTTGGAATCATCACTTTAACAAGTGAGTGCATGGTTACTTTCATCTTACACATAGATATGAAGTATTTAATATAAATTACATGTTGTGAGTGCATAGTTAATTTCATCTTACACATAGATATGAAGTATTTTATATAAATTACGTGTCATGTGTGCATATTATCTGGATACTTGTTGTCTATGCTGGATGAATAATTTTATACATGTTTTAAATGATTTAAACTATATATTTATTTTAAAGCTACAAATATGTTGGGATAAAACATGGGTAGATAAAATAGTTGATGTGTGATGAGAGATAGGTGATGATAGGAAGGTGATGATAATTAGGTGAGGATAGATATGTGATGATGAATCGATGATGTAGGATGAAAAATACTATAACCTTGTCCAGAAATTTGGAGATGTAGTCATCTACCAGAGTATAGAACGGACTATTATAGACAACCTCGTGGAAACACCAACAGACTCATAACCTGTAGGTGATGAATTACAAGTTTAGGCGATGTTGTAACTATGTATTCATGCAATGATACCCTAACCCTTGTTGGGCATGTATTGAGGGAGTAATCTCTGAATCAATACTGTCTATGCGATGTAGGAGATGATCCTTAGGGAGAGTCCTTATGAACAAACATATAAGGAAATGCAATGTAAGGAGATGAGAGGTAAATATGATGTGGGAGACGACCCTTAGGATAAATCCTTAGGGAAGGTACTTAGGAATAAAAAAGATAATGGGGATGGGTAATTGGGTTAACTGTTTGATGATTAAACATAATAATTATATTATTGTGGGTTGAAAACCCTATGTACTCACCAGGTTTCCCAACCTGACCCACTCAATTTACTTGTATCACAAGTGACGATGTGAAGTTACATTACACTGAGAAATTAAGGAGATATAGATCACTAGTGTAAATGAATGTAAGTTCTGTTTATGCTTATGTTTTGTTATTGACGATGACATCCCAAATGTTTTAAAAGGAATAAAAATACATTTCTTCGGAAATGCTTTGATAATGAAATTATCATGTTTTCTGGTAACAAATTCCGCAACCTTTTTATTGAAAGAGATACTCTGGTTTTTATAAAGCATAAACAAAATCGGTCTTTTATGGCCGTGAAAATGGGGATGTTACAGTTGGTATTAGAGCATTACTTTAAGCGAACTAGGAATATGGATTTATTTCTAGACTTAAACTTAGAATGCTAAGCAATGATTGTGAGGAGTGTGTCTTAGGTAATACACTTGCATAGACACAATCACTAGCTTTTCTAGGGAAAAATGACTAACATTCTTTTATGTGTTAAATGATTTATGACATGCATTATATGATTGGATCTATGGTCTATTGCCGACTGGATCTGGAAACTTTATGTGTACAGGTTTCTAAACGTTTAATTACGGTATTAGAACTGACATATAACTTTTTGGAGAGATAAAGGGATTTATACGTCGATCATAGATAAAATCTTTCCTATCTTAATTCTCGTCGTTACACACCGACCGTCTGATTTGGTGTATAGATCAAAATGGAAAGAACTCGAAGTGGATTCAGGAACACGAATGAAAATAGGAATCAACAACCCCCAGTGATTGAACAAATACTTGTTGTAGTAACCGCACCTGAGCCAATCACCGTGGCTAGGGTACAAGCGATGATCCAAATGATGTTGGATCATCAAATGGAGGAAACAAGGTGTTTACTTCAACAAAATTGAGAGGAACTTACGATGCCTATTGAATAGCCCGAGCTGAATGATAGGCAGTCAGAAGGAGGGAACTACAGTGGGACGGTTAGTCAAGACAACCCACCGATAGTTAGACGAAATAATCAGGATGGAGGAAATGACGAAGTCTGCTGAACCTAAAAACAACTCTGGGTAGTGCTCCCTCATCTCCTCCTCGGGCTCCCATGTTTACTCTGAACCCTTCCGTTGTTGCCACTGCACCTTCACTAACTCTACCCTCTTGTTCCTCAGCTCCTTCGTCTTGCGATCTAAAATCTCCATTAGTCTCTCGATGTAGTTCAAGCTGTCGTCAACCTGAATATCCTCAAAGGGTACCACTGCTGAATCATCCACTAAGAACTTCCGCAACTGAGAAACATGGAACATGTTATGGATCTGGCTGAGCTCTATTGGAAGATCTAACTGATAAGTAACCCAACCCACCCGAGCTAAAACCCTAAACAGACCAATGAACCCGGGGCCTAGCTTGCCCCGCTTCCGAAACCTGATAACACCCTTCCAGGGTGACACTTTCAGGAGGACCATATCGCCCACCTAAAACTCCAAGTCAAAATATCGCTTGTCGATGTAACTCTTCTACCGCCTCTGAGCAGTCTGGAGCCTACTCCGGACTTGCTGAATCCGCTTCGTGGTCTTAAGTACTACCTCCGTACTTCACATGACCCTTTAACCGACCTCGCCCCAACAAGTTAGGGTCCTACACTTCCTCCCATAGAGCATCTCAAAGGGAGGTCAGTCTATGTTGGCATGGTAACTGTTGTTGTATGAAAATTCCGCTGACGGAATGTACATATCCCAACTGCCACCAAAATCTAACACGCATGTTGTTAGGTTTTAAGCATTCTAACACTTCCTAAGTGTACATGCAACCATAATAAACCTTGGATCTATGTTTGTCTAAGGTACATGCAAAATATTAATTTTCAAGGTTTATAACATATATAGCATGGCATGGGGTACTTTTAAACATAAAAGAACTAAATGAATTACATACCTTTTGTTGATTGTCGATTCCTTGGAGTTTGAGAGCCAAGCACCAATAATGTGAATGCCTCAAATGGAAATAACAAATCACCACAAACTTGGAAAATGTATGAGAGAGTATACTAACACTTAGAAATCGGCCACAACTATTACACACACACTAGCAGGGTTTTTCATGCAACATAAGCTTGTTTATATAGTGTGCATGGTTAGGGTGAAACCCTAATAACCCATGTATTTTCCTATTCCAAGGATCCATGGGTTAAAGCTCCATGGATCATCCATGGATTTCCATATAAGCTTAGCCCATTAACAAATGAGTATTAGCCCACACCATATAAATGAAATAGCCCATGACTTAATTAGTCTTCCTTTTAATCACTAAATTAATTCATAATTAATTCAAGGTTAAAACTAATTAAATAACATGACTTTATATTAATATATTATAACTTATAATATATTAATAAATCGTAAGTATACAATTCTCATAAAATTATCCATAAATAGTTTGGGTGAAGTGCAACCCAAATTGACCATGACGGGTCGGGTCAAGTGTATACCAAATAAGTTATGGACTTAAACACCTTATCCAACACATGCACATAGCATGTCTTTGAGAGTTTGAATCATCATCTCGCTCTGACCGTCCGTCTAAGAGTGGAAAGCGGTGTTGAAATGGAGAAGAGTATCTATCTCGTCGTGAAACCGCTTCCAAAACCTGGAAGTAAACCGGATAACTCGGTCTGACACCACTGAGACAGGCACTCCATGACGTGCCACTACCTCTCGCACATAAATCTCAGCCAGCTTCTCGGCCGACATGCTCTCTTAGATCGGTATGAAATGAGCACACTTGGTCAACCGATCCACGACGCCTTATATCGAATCGACCCCACGTGCGGTCCTAGGAAGCTTAGTAATGAAATACATAGTGATATCCTCCCATTTCCATATGGGAATGTCTACGATTGCATCTTGTCGTGAGGCCTCTAGTGCTCCGCCTTGACCTTTCTGCAGGTCAGGCATCTCTCCACAAACCAAGCTACATCGCGCTTCATGCAGGCCACCAGTAATCGGGTTGAAGATCTCTATACATCTTCGTCACCCCTGCATACGCGCGACGTACCAGCTGGTACACCCAACGTACACAGCGATATGCCTTCCCAACTCATTAAGTGCTTAGTACTGTAGCCCTTATGTCCAAATTACATATCGAAGGCCCAAATTTTGTCTTTGACCATAATTAAGTGCTTAACATTGAAAACCTTAACTTATTAACCCACTAAGACCTTGTAACTCATGCATGGAAGGGAAATAATGATCAAGACCACATTTTTATGCTTTTAAACACCTCAAAACGTCTGAAAGGACAACTTAATGGATTGGAGTATCTTATACTTAAAATACCAAACTAATTGGACCAAAAGGACATAAACTTCATGGCTAACTTAGATCTAAGCATAGCTTCATCAAGTTTAAAGCTTTTTACCTCCAATTGATGCCAAATGGTGTTGCTATTCTTCATTCAAAGAGTCTCAGTCCTCCAAGATGCTCTTCTCTTCTTCCTATCTCCTTTAAAGTAATCAAAACACCCACACAAAGCTCAAGAGTACTCAAAAATGGATTAGGCACTACTAGAAAAAAGGCCTTTTACGACTCTCATTGCGCGTCGTAAAACGCTCAAATGACGCGTAAATGCGCATCAAGGAAGGCCCTGTCATAAAGAGAGACGACGCGCATTTACGACGCGCATTTATGATGCGCATTTACGACACGCGGTTATGACACGCAATGTGTATCAAGGAAGGCTCTGTCATAAATGAAGACGATACGCATTTGCGTGTCGTAAGCTTACGATACGCGTGTTTATGACACGCAATGCGTATCAAGGAAGCCCCTGTCAAGAAAGGCCATGTCATAAATGAAGATGACACACATTTTTGCGTATCATAATTTTAAATGTTCTAAAAAAATATATTTATATATTTATTAATTTTTAAATTAAATTTGCATTTAATGTCTAATAATAGAAATAAAATATCATATACAAAAAATGCAATCCATTGCATAAAAATTAATGTCATACAATTCTATTTTTTACAATATCTAAATTTGCATCTAATCTACTATATACATAAAATTCCAACTAAGTAAAGTTTCATCTTGCCTTTCATTATTCTTTACGACTAATGCTCCAAGCAGCTAATTATATGGATAAGCGGTTGTACATTAGCCCATCTCACTCAAGAATGACTTAGCCAAATTCAACTCCAAGTCTTTACTGCATCTTGTTGATAATGCTGCAAGACTTGAATCAAGTGGCTTCATATTCCTTTCTTCCACCAACTTTACCTGATGCACAAAATACTCAGAAACAAAAAAACATTGTAGAGGAAGGGGTAATTTGGGGAAATGTGAGGCGTATCCTCTGCAAAACAAAACAAAAAATATCCTTTGCAAGATTTGCTCTTTAGTAACCTCTGCAAAACAAATATATATATATATATATATATATATATATATATATATATATATATATATACCTGAAGAACCATTTGTTAGCTCTACAACACTTTTTGAATCTGAACCAAGCTTTCATCACTAACATCAGCACCTTTTGTAGCCCCTAGGACTACGCATAAAAGTTAGAAAAACTAAGTATTCCAAAAATACCCCTAGGACTCTTTTTGTCCCAGAATCTGAATTAAACCACAAGTGATGCTTCGATTTCATTGTTTCTTGCAACTTCAACATGAAGTGTTCTGATGCTGTATGCATAAAGTTTCACACTTTACAGGAGATTCTTGGGGAAGGAAAGAAGGTTGAGCTTGAACCGAAGGTAATTACATATCATATGCTTTTGTGTTTTAAGGGTTAAACGAATCATTTCAAGATTTGAAAATTATTAAAAAAAACGTTATAATTGTAGAAAACAAATTGATAACCTTCTAAAATCTTGGGAGCTAAAATATATCCAATTAAAACAATGAAAATGTGATTTTGTTTTTGTTTTCAATGTTGCAGTAGTAGGAAGAGATGAAAGTTTGATATAATAAACAAATCACTAAAAGTAGGTTGCTATTTCTTAAAAAGTAATTCAACTTTGGCATATTATAGCTTACCTTCTCTGTTGGTGGCAACTGCAATGAGTTCTTTCACGGCTAAATCAGAAACAAGATAAAACTACAGAAAAAAATGTAGGTTAACTTAGCAAATGATAAACCAATAGTTGGTAATTTACAATCTTTCTTTCAACATACAATATTTATTCTTTAGGTATAATGTATTTAGTAATCCAACAATATTGACATTATGCATAACTTGAATTCAAATATAAATTGGACAAGATATAATGTCTTTCTTAAACAAATAGTTCAATATGCTACCCCACTATCATTGACTATTAAAGAAATTAGGGACAAATCTAATAGTAGAATGTTTATGCCAATTAAGGCCTCATTTGGAAGCCAGCAACAGTAATACAAGCTAGAAAAGAGGGAACAAGTGGTGTTTTTAAGTTATAATTTTGAATAGAAAAGGCAAAACTTCTATCTTAAGGGGACAACACCAAGCATGGCAGTGGTGTCAAGGACCTGATCATAGTAAGAGAAGGTGTTGTTGGGGATATACTTAATGCATAAACTTCTATCTTTTTCCTTCTCTGCATAAACTTCTATCTCACAGTCAGTGTAGTCTTAAACATCAAGTTTAAAAAGTCAAGTTTGTGAATCTCTTTTGGAGCACATCAGATGTGCTTTTTCCTTGAAAATATGTTGTTACTTGAGATACTATAGAATGGAAAAGTGATTTGGACATGAGAGAGAGAGAGAGAAGATAGAATAAAACAGTTACTTACACAGAAATGTTGACTAGCATGGCTGTATGATGGATTGATCTTCAGAGTTTGAATGATCAACCTGAAGAGCCTTCAAAATATATGATTCAACAGTGGCCCACCAGTTGCTGACGTAAGCTTTGTACCGCTCTAAGAAGAGGGAGAAATAATTAATTCAATGAAAGAATGAGATTTTAAAGGCTTATGAATATGTAAAGTTTTTAGAGAAATTACCTCTAGTAGAAGACATAGGATTTGAACTTCTGTCTTTGACAATATTTGATGGGAATTATCATTATTGTGTCTTTCTAACAGTTCCTATAGTAAAGAATGGATGAAATGTCAACATGGAAAATTGTAGAATGGATGAAAGTCAAAGGCAACTAAATTAGCATTCTGCAAGAAACTTACCCCTCCATATGGATGCAATGATAGTGCAGATCCCAAGATAAACTTCAGTATGTTGTCCTTTGTTGGCCGATCAAATCTGAATAAGTTTTAAAAAGATACATATTAGAGAACATACAAGGCTTTCATTATAAATATGAAAAGTGCTTATAAAATCATTAGTGAAAATACCTTACTCCAACACTCTGCGTTTGAGACTTAAGTGTAGCAGTATTGAGGTGCAATGTCAGGTAATGTATACTATATATTAGTTTTGTTGAATTAATGTTAGTTAATAATAATATGGTGAAATAGAAATATGTTATTTTGTTATTATATAAATGTATAGGGCGCAACCCCTACGATTTCTATAGATAATACAGTAGGGTGCCAGCTGTACTTGAGTCGAGAGTCTCTAGAAACTTCTATAACAACTGCTAAAGCAACTGAAGTTAATGTCATGGTGCCTTCCTCAGATCCTGATGCTGATCTGGTATGCTTGCTTCCAATTTATTTTTCTTAAAAAAACTTTGTAGGGGTAGTTACGTCATTTGCAAAGGCAAAAATTAGAAAAAATAAACACACAAATCAGAAGTAAAAACATACTAAAACTTCCGTAATACTAATAATAATAGAAAAACAAGAAACACAGATGAAATTGAAACCCACAGCAACTGTATTCTCAAGTATCAGCCATGATTTCCTCCATTTAGACTCAAATTCCTACCAAATATACAAATTTTGTATGTTATTATCGTACAAAATATAGAAAAAGAGGTGAATATCTAATTTTTATTAGCTGATTCTTTCTATATCACATGTCTCACATGTTATCAATAAAATCTAAAACCTAAAATGATCAATTTTTAAATAAACGAATTGAAATTGGGACGTGTAAAGAAGTGTAAATGCAAACAATAAGAATGTTATAATTGGGTAAAGTTTTCAAAATACAATGCATTGATAAGAAAAAATTTGAAAATAGAATGTCTTAAAGAAAGAAATGAAAGTATGATGCTATATAATACACAAATAAATGAACCATATTCAAAGGAATTGAAATTTGAAGGATCTAGAATCTGAAGAAATTGGATTCTCTCACACATTTGGTTGATAAGAAATAGATTGGAATTTGTAAAAAAATATGAAGAGGAAAAGTAGATGGAAATGCAAGAGATATGTTTACTTGTGAGATATAGGGTTAAAAGGGTAGTTAGAGTATTTACTATTTATAAAGAGACAGTGTTGCAAACACGATGCAGGATTAGAATGGAATCGAATTCTAGTTCCAATCCCAATTCCAATTCCGGCCAAATCACACAGAATATGACATAAAGGTGACTTAGACCACAAAACATCATAACTCAAGTGTAAAAGAAATCCATATAATTTAGGGTTTTGTGACTTCTTTATCAGTTTGATTCAAAACTACTTTTAGTCAGATTTGTCTAAAATCCAGACATTTTGATCTATATTTGCATTAAAGTCTTATTGAGAAGAGGGATAACGATACTCTTCAATCAAAAAACCATTTCTTTGTGATAAGAAGAAATGAAAAGTTTGTTTACCTTGGTGGAATAGGGAGGAAGATTGAGGTAGTTGGCACATGTCATGACACTTGGCAAATCATCATCTGCAGATTCCGAGACTCCACCCACAGCATTTGATGCAGTGTTGAGTTTTGTAATTAATAAAGGGTTAGTGACTGAGGAGGGGCAATTTCATAATTTACCTAGATAAAATTTTGAAAACAAGGGGTGGTTGAGGGGGGTGTTTTTACCTTTCTGGCAATGGTCAACTTAGGGTTCAAGACAACCAAGCCACCTGGAGGAAGCCGAGTTGCACCAGTAACAAATTGACAGAATGCCCTTTGTTGTTCTGGATTAAACTCTCCCATTATCTCAAGCAACTAACAAAGAGACATAAACAAAACTATTAATATTAACTATACTATAAAGTTATAAATCTTCCCTGAATATCGCTAAAAAAAATAAATTACTCACATTAATTACTACAGGGCTCTTGGATGTGTACCCATGGTCAAATTTTATGTGTTCCACAAGTGTATCAGCCTGCATTTAAAAGAAACATGAATTCTCTACATCATATCATTTTCATAAAGAATACATGTTATGTTTAAGTAGAAAAAAGATGAGCAAATTACCACCCACATTTCTCTACGCCCACAGAGTAAATAATCCAACTCACTTGGAGAAAATATTTGTAAACTTGAAACATCAAAAACCTGATAGTAATAAGATAAAATATTAGCTTAAAAAAATTATTTTGTATATTTTCTAATTCCATAAACAATTTAGCATATTATAATGTTCGAAAAAGATGATGACCTGATTAAAGCCAGCTCTAAATGCTTCCAATTGCCTTGTGATACCAGTCTTGATAGTAGCATCAACCACCAATGAAATGTACTCTTCCAAATTATTTAAATCGACCTGTGAATTTGGAAGCAACAAGTTTATCAACAAATTAATCGCTAGATAAACATAACCCCATAAACAATAAAGATAAAAAAAGATCAAAGTACATTCAATCAAAAAACCATTTCTCCTTCTATTAACACTTGATCTAGAACAGGCAAATTTTATCTAGGTAAATTATGAGAAAGAGTTGGGGGAATCAAGAGTGCAATGCTCGTCCTTGTTAGGTTGAATGTTCGTGATTGCGAAGATGAAAGATAGATAGAAGATAGAAAAAACAAGGCGAGTTTTCATAATTTTGGGGATTTCGTTTCCCCCTTGTCTACTAAAAGCGCGTTTCATTAAAATTATAAAGCGACAGGTACAGACGACGCGCGTTTAAGATAAAGCGCCCTCCGTGTTTTTAATTTTTTTTCTTGAGACACTAAATTAAGGGCACCCAATAAAGCGTGACGTAAATCCTTAAATTTTTTGGAGAGATGACTCTATTTTAAGGGCACGTCCTTTTGCGTATCGTTAATTATCGCGTATCGTAAAAAGCGCGTCATTAAAGGTCTATTTTCTAGTAGTGAGGGTTCGTTTGGGGACAAAGGTGGGTTGGAGGCTGATGAAATAAGGTAGGTTGGGGACTTAAGGATGTTTAAATAGGGTCTAAACCATCAAAAATTAGTGTTTGAGGATCATGGGCGTACGCTCCGTGTATGCTAGGTATGCCCAGCGTACGTGACCTTGGGCCAAAAATTACAAAAATGCCACTATGAGCTATTTTGCAACATTTCTCATACACAAAGGGCTAAAATACAATAAATATTCATACTTAGGGTTTAAATTGGAAATATCTCATAATTGAAATGTTACAATATCTATACCATCTTATAAAGCATACATAATAATGTCTTAAGTATAAATTTTAAAGCCTAATGTACAAACATTTAAACATGTTATCTTAAAAAAACAAGGAAGATAAATCTGGACTTTTGAATCTAAAATGAACGGTATGGATTTTTATTTTGGCAATCCAAGTGAAATGGTTTCAACCAATGAGAAATGGTTTTCCCGGACACTCACACGGATCGACCATCTCGGATACCTTTTCCTTCGTTCACCCTTTTCATTTCAAAATTTGAATACTCAAAATTTCTCTCTGGAAACCTGGAAACCTAAATACCATCTCCACAACCAGAAGTACTCTTCTCCTTCTTTCTTCACTTACCAGTGCCCCATTACCACAGTCACCACATACACCTCCTTCACCATGACGACCATGCTCATCGATTTCATTGATTTCATCTATGTGTTTTAACTGTTTTTTCAGTACTCCGATGAAGACGACACCTTCATCAGTTCCATCTGCTCTGGTAGCCACCCTCCAGACAAGATTTCACATAAGCTTTTGCTCACCTTATTTCTTTCACTTATCTTTATCTGTTCCAGTCAACTCTATATACCACTCCATTCTCTCTAAGAAACCCAAGAAACCCCATATCTAAATCTTAGCTATAAACCACAGAATCTCAGCCGATCCAGGTTTCTCTCTTATACCTATTTGTTCTTGCCTTCTTGGAATATGTCTAATCTTTGTTTTGAATCACTTTTTATTTAGACTCTAATTTTTGCTTATTATGGATTCATGTGCAAGGGTTTCAACAAATGGAATCCAACAACACCACCAACTATCGCTTTCACCTCCATAGATATTCTTATCTCTCTCTCTCTTTCCCTCTCTGGTTTGAAGAAATACAGACACACACCACCTTCACACTTCGATCTGTACTTTTCTATGAAATTGGGTTTTGACACCACCTTCAGACTTTCATCTATATTTCTCTATAACATCGGGTTTTGATAATGTTATTTCTCTATAACATCGGACATTGACCTGTTCTTCGATGAATTACACCACCGGAGATGGCGGAGCCAGAGATCGGTGAGTTGAGCTTCACCTGATACATGATTTTACCGATTCTTTCTGATACGTTGCATTTTTTCTCTTAATCTAATGTTTTTTGCAACAAAAACTCCAAAGAAGTAGGTGTGATTCACATTTTCCACCAATGGGATTCTACGCGGATTTTGTGGGGTTTTAATCCGATTTCAGTAATCAAAATTGAAACCCCCATTTTACAATATTTGGAATTAAATCCTCTAAATTTACTTAGATGTGCTGTTTTCGATTTGGTTGTTTCGATTGACTTACATCTTCTTTCTCTCTCATGTTTTTTCTTGGAATTTTTATGGCAAATTGTTTGCTGATAAGAAAAGCTACCTGGGATTTTCATAAATTAATTTTATCAGTTTTTGTTGGCATTAATTGCTTGCATGCTATTTATGTTTTGATTCTCATAACTATTAACCATGACTATCTGTAATTGTTATTCAATTGTAAATCTTAGGTGAAGGATCATTTATGTGAGAAAATGCATTTGGGGGTTTTTGGCAGGTTAGCAAGGAATGGGAATTAGGGTTCTTCAATTGTAATCCCAATCCACACCGCTCTTCAGGTCTCAATAATTCTTCAATTGGGGTTAATAGAGACAGAAACGGGTTAAAGTTTTTAAATTTTCAGTGATCAGGTGAAATTCGGAATGAACTATGGGAGAGGTTTTCCACTCCCTCATTAGAAAATAGTAATTCATGGACTCCGACAAAAGGAATTCCACCGGAAAACGGAATCGGGCCTCGTAGGGGCTCTTGGACTACAACCATGCTTGGAGGACCGATTCCAGGGGTTGGTGGCTTAGGTGATACTGCAGGAAGAGCACTTCCTGTGGATGATGAGCTTATTTGTGGTAAGAAACCGGAATCATGGATGACGATTTCAAGGGGAAATGGGATTAAGGGTCATAGGGATTTGTTGACAACTATCCATCAAAAGAACAACATTGTGCCAAATAGGCAGAATTGCTAAAGTGAATTGCATTTCTTTGAACATTAATGATGTAATGTGGTTGACATGTTGTTCCATCCATACTTGCTTCAAATAAGAAATTGGTACTTGAAATTTATACAGGTGTTATTGATTCTCAAGACTTAAAAGCTAAGCATATGATTCACCAACATGTGACTGCTAAAAATCAAAAGGATCACCAGTTTGATGTTTTTGATAGGCTTGGGTGAAAATTTTTCCTTTCATTTTATCGTCTGAAGCAACCAATTTGGCCTATCATGTCAGTATGCTATAGATTACTGTCTAAAATGACCGATCTATCCTCTATTTTGTTGCTAAAGTGACTGGTTTGCCCTTTGTTTTTGTCTTTCAGGTTTAGAAGCAAAATAAAAGCATCTGGATAGTTAAGGTTTCTCTTCTGTTTTGGGCCCTGTTCCAAATATGGTTTCTCTTTCATGGTGAGAATTGTTTTTTATTTTTATTTAAGCCTTTATGTTTGTTGTCTTATGAATTCGTACTCTAACCAAACACTTTTATTCCTCTATGTATTCTGTAAAAAGGAATGTATGTATGGACGAAAGTAGAAATGGATTAGGCACTTAGCACTTGAGCTCAATGATTCAAAGCTTTGAATCTCCTATAGTGGCTCCCAGTTGCATGGGAGAAGATGTTAGAGGATGATTCATAAAGCAGAAGATTATATGGGTTATCATTATATGTTCATTTTCTAGCTGGGATTTTTTATGGCATCATAGGATATTTTTATGGTCAAAATAATAAGTTTGTTGTGAGTTAGTTTAATTGCCCATTTCACTTTGATTTGTAAGGTTTTTGAGAATATTTAGCATTGACACAGTTAAGTTGGCTCTATATCTGTTTTCCAATGTTGAGATCATGTATTGAATGCATTTTTTATATTTTAGAAGATATATTTGTTTTAAAAATTGATGACAGATACGATCACCCATTAATTTGAGTATTGAGTATAAAAGATTATGTAAGAATACTTTGATTAGATAAAAACACTTGTGTCGACATTATTTGGTGTTGATGCGTAGAAACCATGCCTCCTAGATGACAACTATTGTACCTAATGAGTAAAAGATTATATTTATTGCCCATTGCCCATATTTTTTGCAGCTTTTATAAATTAACAGCCTGCCAACAAAATTGAGTAGATCAAATTCATCTTAATGTCTTAGTATTTTAGCTAGTGTATACGAAACTCTCTTTATTGTAGCAAAATTTGGCAAAATGAAGGATATAACATTAAGAATTAAACTTTAGCTGTTAAAAGATTATGGGGAACATGGAGAGTGTTTATTTATGGTGGGACTGGAATCATGAGTTTTGTACAGAGCTGAAGATCATGACCAAACATACAAACCCATGAAAAGATGGTATATGTTTAAACTGCATTTTTTTCATTCAAAAGGAATCATGGGCATGTGTTATCTTTTGAAATCACGTGGACCACAACATTCATAACGTAATTGTTAGTGTTTATTCTATTGAAAGAAATTTTAATTCTGATTTTTATGAAGTATAACTACAAACAAAACATTACTAACCATACTAATTATTGTCTATTAAAAATACGATCACAAAGATTTTTTTACCATTAAAAACATAACAATGACAATACATATGCTTTGAATTTTATTCAAAATATGATTTATAATAAATTTTAGTTGAAAATATTCAGATTGTTTAAAATTTCTGTGCACATGTTAGTGGAAACAAGATCAAGTTTACAAATTCTAAATTATAGGATTGTAAATTGTATTAAAGTTATTTATGAATTATTTAATCGCTTAAAAATAAAATCGATCGATTATTTATTCGCTTAGATTTTTCATCAAAAATATAAAACTACATAGTATATGATTATATATTTATATACATAAAATAAACTGAAAAAATAAACATGCAGTCCGGTTATAAAATAAACTGAAAAAATAAACATGCAATCCGGTTCGGACGGTCACCCCTACCTTTTACAAATAAATACTATGTTTTATTTATCAACTATGTAGATTTTTACATTAAACTATCAACTATGTAGATTTTTGATGATTTTTACATCAAACGAAGAAAATACAAAATTAAATTACGAAGTGAAATTTTTTACATTAAACCATGAGAGTACATGTTATATTTATTTTTAATAGAAAACAACAATATATTTATATTTCTAACTTAAAACACCAAAATAGTTATATGTTAAACTAATTTGCTTCCTAGAAACTATTTGTCGAATTGAAACAAATCGACGCCCACTGTAAAAAAACCGACAATAGTCCGATAAATCAATGCTGCCAGATAAATAGTAATAGACGAAAATTAGTATTTGTTGCCCTCTAGAGACAACTGATCGCCGATAAGAACAAATCGTCAGAATGAAACAAGTCAAAAGAAAACAATTTGACAACTGCCGAAATAACACTAATTTTCGTTCGGAAACTAATCACCGGAATGAAACAATCGCCGTCGCCGCATCGCGCGGGTACGCAACTAGTATATATATATATATATATATATATATATATATATATATATATATATATATATATATATATATATATATATATATAATGAAACAATTGTACATAGAAAATCTTTTGAAAAAAAAAAAAATTCTCTAATTATTTAATGGGTTATACATATCCCAATCATATTTAGTTGTATTTTGTTGTTTCCTTTCAAGCACCATGTGTAACATACCACTAGTCATATGAATTTGTGGTTGGAGAAAATATTGCACATCTTGGTTCTTCATTTTCTGTTCCAACAATTAAGTTTTCCATTCTTCTTTAGCTTGATAAATGCGTAATTTTTCTTCCCAATACCGTTGTAACGCCTGCAGATTTGGGCTAGACAATTTAGATATAATGAGCAATAAAACCGACATTTTTATAATAACGCCTGCAGATTTAGGATAAATAATCTTAATCAAAGTTATAATATATGTAACAAGGGTTCCGTACATATAAAAAAAACTCTGAAATATGACTTTGTATGAAGAAGTTATGCTTCTTCGAAGTTTCACGATTCAACTGACACGACTAAACACGTCATAAAAAGGTGAATTTTGGATAGGTTTCTTATTATCGTAAGTAATCTAAACTAAAGTCATAGTAATCGTAAAACTAAGAGCATACATATAGAGAACGTTCAAATCTGACTTTGTATGAGGAAGTTATGATTTTTCAACGTTTCAACACGACAGTGGGACACATAAATCGAAATTCAAATTGTTTAATTGTTAGACGAAACAATCTAAGTGATAATTGAAGATCTCGTGAATATTAACCCATCAATATAAAGACTGTTGAGAACGGAGTTTGTATGAAGGATTTATGAAGTTTGCACGAGCTTTAACAATCTAAATCAGTCTAAATATGAATTTCAGTTAGAGTGAGAATTATATGTTAAAACCTAAATGAAAGTTATAGAGTTCGTCGAGAGGATTTCGGGGATATAAAGAACGTCGAAAATAGAGTTTGTATGTGAAAGTTATGGTTGTCCAAAGATCTGCGAAAAAATACTTGGGCTGATGATGTGGCAGCACTGGAATACACCACGTGGCCTGGTCGGCGATTGACTCTCCCATGAAGACAAGTTGACGTTACCCAAGGAAAAGACGACACACGACACCATGAAATGATGACACATGGTGGCTTATAAAGGGAATTGAGGGGAGCAAATCTGGGCATGACACGTGACACGTTCTAGAAGCAAAGGATATGAGCGAAGTAGATGACAACATGTGGCAGAAGGAGAGGTGGCCATGTCACCAAGCGCGACACACCCCTCCTGAAACCCTATATATTGGTTCGTTTTTCAGCCTAGTTTCTCGCCAATCCTTCAACTTTCTCTCAAACGGCTTCCAACTTTCAAGATCTGTTGTTTTAGATTTAGAATATTTTAGTAAGATCTCAGGAGCTCTGGGAGCCTGAAGAGAAGAGGTGCTCGGGTTAGAGGCCTACCAATTTTTGCTAAAATTTATCTAAGTTAAGGCACACTTATTTTATTTCATGTGTAATTTATATTTATGCTCATAGTCGTTATTATGAACCTATAAATAAGATTTATCAATGATTTCAAGTCGTTATACAAATTGATCTACTTACAGAAATGATGTTTAAAGTGAGATTTCCAAATAGTATATGTTTGTGTGGAAAGTACCCGCTAGGGTTTGCATTGTATTCCATAGTATAAATAATACATTGTATGAGATAATTACATAAAGGACCCTTATCTATACAATATATATGATACCTACACTAAACATGAAAATAAATAATACAATTAACACTCCCCCTTAGTTTGAGCGGGAGGTTCCCTAATGCTTAAACTGTCCCGAAAGTCAAGAAATAATTGTGTAGGTAGTCCTTTAGTAAAGATATCTGCGAACTGATGTGCTGATGGAACATGCAAAACATGCACCTGACCAATGGCAACACGTTCCCTAACAAAGTGTAAGTCAATTTCCACATGTTTGGTTCTTTGGTGCTGAACTGAGATAGAGGCTAAGTACATGACACTCACATTATCACAAAACACAACTGTAGAACGAGACAGAGGGCAAGATAGTTTAAGAAGAAGATTACGGAGCCAAGCAGTTTCAGCAACAACATTAGCTACCCCTCGATACTCAGATTCAACGCTAGACCGAGACACAACATGTTGACGTTTTAAAGACCATGAGACCAGATTATCACCAAGATAAACACAAAACCCAGATGTAGACCGGCGTGTCAAAGGATAGCCAACCCAGTATGCATTAGAATAAGAAACCAAACAATCGACATAAGACGGACGAATGAACAGACCATGATGAAGAGTACCCTGAAGATAATGCAGAATACGTTTGAGGGCTAAAAAGTGTGGTTCTCGAGGATCGACATATCTATTGAACTGCATATGTAATATTTGGACGAGTAAAAGTGAGATATTGTAGAGTCCCAGCAAGACTTCTGTATAAGGTCGGATCAGAAACCAGTTTCCCGGATAAAGAGAGTTTCGGTTTGGTGTTTGTGGGAGTACTACACGGATTACAGGAGGTCATGTCAGTGTGGGATAGGATCTCCTTAGCAAATGTCGTCTGTGAAAGAAACAGACTATGTGTCGAGCGTGTAGCAGAAATTCCAAGAAAAAAGGACAGTGGACCAAGGTTCGTCATGGAAAACTCAGATAAGAGATGAGTAATGACTCTCGTGATGTGGGATGGGTTGGAAGTCGTAAGGATGATATCATCAAAATAAAGAAGAAAATAGATAGTTTCTGAATCATGGTGAAACGTGAAAAGGGAACTGTCTGAGTGACTACTGATAAATCCAAGAGAAGAGATGTATACTGCGAATCATTGATACCATGCACGAGGAGCTTGTTTGAGGCCATATAGGGCCTTCCGAAGATGACATACATGATCAGGGAAAGTAGGATGAACATATCCGGGAGGTTGTTTCATGTATACCTCTTCACTTAAGTCACTGTAAAGGAAGGCGTTTTTGACATCAAGTTGGTGAATAGGCCAGTGACGAGAGACAGCAATACTGATAACAGTACGAATGGTGGCTGGTTTGACAACATGGATAAACGTATCATCAAAATCTAGACCTGGTTGCTGAGAGAATCCCTGAGCTACAAGGCGCCCTTTGTAGCAATCAAGATTACCGTGAGAATCAAACTTATGGAGATAGAGCCAACGACAACCGACAATGTTGGCAGTAAGAGGGCGTGGAACAAGATCCCAGGTGTGATTGTCAGTTAGAGCTCACATTTCCACATCTATAACGAGTTTCCAATTTTGATACTCATAGCTTGGGTAGTGGATCTGGAGATAGGAGAGATGTTAGAGGTAGTAGAGAGATTAAGGATAGTACGAGATTTTAGAGAGCCTATTCGCGATTGAATGGTTATAGGGTGATTGGGCGGTGGAGGAGGATCAGGCGGAGGAGG